TCTGTGTAACTGCACGGTTTGCACATTCTAAAGGCCGGTAATGAATCTATATTTATAGGTAATTAAACGAACATGAAATTATTTCCACAAATCAGTCTCCAAGTCTGTCTCTTTAATGGATCTTTATTTATAGGTAATTAAACATACATTATGCAAGAGCTAAATCTGCCAATTGCAGGTCTTTCTTTAGGCATGAAATATTATCTAAATTATTAATTAGACATTAATTAACTTATCCAGACCATAATCAACTCTCGATGGCATCACAGCCTGCGATATTTACTGGATTAGAACCTGGTCTGCTGCTTCTGATTGAATCAAAAAATGGATAATCGAGACTATGTTTTTTATCGTACTGACTTTAGTAATGATGATCGAGACTGGGCTCAAAATTCAATCGCTAAATACTTGGTTCAGGGTTAATCAATTTGATTGAAATTCTCAGCAAATTCCCTTTACATTATCTAGTTTTTAACTATTATAGTGAGAACTACCAGCTCTTTATCTGATCTCCGATAATGTATCTTTAAGTGAACATGAAATTATTTCCAGAATTCGATCTCCAAAACTGTCTCTTTAATTTCTCGTCAACTGGCGTGGTTCTGAATCCCTGGTTGTACGTGACAAGGAGTAGGGTTGCCTGTCCAACCTCGTGGGTTTTCTCCGGGTCTTCCGGTTTCCTCCCACTGCTAAAGACCCCTATGCACAAGCAAATTACTGAAATAAAATTAAACCATATGTTAGTCCCGAAATGACCTAGTCTATGTCGAGTGGACGTTAAACTCCATTTCTCTCTCTCTCTCTTTAATTTCTCCCATTAATACAAATAAAGTGAATATTGAACACGATGTTACTTATCAATTGATCTGAGTATATAATGTTAGAATTCCATTAATTACGCTAAATTAATCAATTCTCTAGCACACGTCTAGAATATCACAATCCGTATGTTGTATCTCATGGATAAAGGTGAACTGAGGCCGTCAATCTTTAATTAATTAAAACAGACAGTATACTGGAGAAATTAAACAAATAGTCTGTCTTTAAACTCCAACAGGCCAGATTAAACATTAAAGATACATTATGTAAGATTTAGATAAACAGCTGGCTGTTCTTGCTATAATAGTTCTAAAAATAGATAATGCAAAAGGAATATATTGAATATTTCATTCAAATTGCTTTATTCTGTTTGTAGTTTTGACAAGTTGTGTTCATTGATTGTTTATTATCGTAACCAGGGTGCTGGTATATTCGAGGCTTACCCGCTCTTCTCCATTTTTAAATTTAATCATTAAATGGCCAAACCGTTCTAATCTAGTTAAAATCTCGAGCATCCAATGGCATGGAGAGTTGATTAGGGTCTTGTCATGTTAATAAATGTCTAATTAATAATTTATATAACATATTTAAGGCCTAAAGAAAGACCTACAATAGGTAAATTTAGCTCTTGAATAATGTATCTTTAAATATTGAGTTAAAGACCATACACATCAAGCTTGGAATTAAAACAACTGTCACAGACATGGTCAGGCACAAATTCAGGCTTTGACAGCCATTTTGTCTGGCACAAGATTAAAAATGTCAGGTATTATATGTCAGATACATCTAAAATCATTATTTCAAGGCCTCAGGCCTGATACACAATCAAAAGTACTTTTATTAAAAAATATTTTCATCTGAAATTTAATAAAAATCAAACAACTAAAGTTACGGTTATTTAAGGTTTACCCTCGTTTACCACCATCTTTAGCTGTCATAGATAAATAAAATAATAAATCTGTTATCTTTTTCTTCTGACTTTCCAAATATATGTGAACCCTCTAACATGTTGAGCCTTTAAAATAGAACAAGGCCACACAAGTTTTATTTTGCATTAAACCAGCCATCTTGATATTAAAATGTGTAAAATTAAAATATAATTGAAGAATTTGTTATTTTATTAGCCTTAAACTCTGATCAGTCAGTGAAACACAAAATTAAATTAATGTGAACGAAATGAAAAACTACATTTTTTTTTAGCCATTTTTGCTGAATATACATTTATGGCCTAAATATGAATTGAATGTGGCAATTTGCAAAGATATGAGTCTAAAAGAAAGGAAAATCAATTGCAGTCTATGAAATATTCAGACAATGTAATCACTTACTCAAAGCTTCAAATAGCAATTATGTAGTTGGTTGACCTGGAAATAATTTTCTGTATTTTTTTTTTAATAAGCAATATTTATTTCCAGACTTTCAGATTCCATGTGAGGTTGGTACAAATAAATATGTACTTGAATAACCATGTCTCTTCTTCTTCCTTGAGGCTTAAAGTCTGCTTTCACCTTGGGTTATATCGCAGACAAGTGTTTCCTGTGAAACGTGCAAGAGGAGCCAAATAAGAGGTTCGTTTCGCATAGGTAGGAGAAGGGGGAGCGCTTTAAGAGGCTTAATCAATTCCGTTTCCTTTAGATAAAGATACATTGCCTTTTGAGGATAACCATGTCTTTATGCTTGTTGAAGTTATAGTGATAAATAAAACTCCACAATGCAATTGATTAAATGAGTTACCTAACCCCGGACGATCATTTCCAAACAGCTACTTTTTAATTTAAAATTTTTAAAACCATGTAAATAATGATAATGGCCCTCTTTAAACAAAAGAAATGATAAATTATCAGCTAACTGGTAATTATAGACCCTTTCAATGATATCTCTCCACTGAATAACTGATATTGACCATTTGGCTTACATTACCATATAATGTTCAATGATAACTTTCCGTATACCACAGGCATATTTGTATACTGTCATGGTTTTGGCAGGGAATACAAGAGATTGTAATAGAAACCTACAATCACTGATTACAGGAATTATGAAATAGAAGGAAGTAAAAGGAGGTTTTTAAAAGCTCCTACTTTTCTACAGGAAATTGGTTAATGAAGATGGGCTGCTTAATGTAACAACTGTTCCATAAATTGTATTTGAATACATAAGGTGAACAAACATGTATAGAAATGAAATGAAATGAAATGGGATTTAACGTCCTACTGTTCTGCTCCTAACCTGGGCTAATGAAGACGGGCATACGCCATACAGTGTGCTATGAGGGAAATTTTGCCCGGACAGCGGCACTACGGCCTACTCTTATATCGAATTCCAACTGCCAAGGGATCTTTTACGTGCATGCCAATGTGTAAACGGGACCAACATGTATAGATAAATTCTAATCCATAGATAGGAAGATGAGACTTGTCAACAACATCATGTGTCATTGTATACAAAAATCACTGTCAAAATTTGTTTACATTGAAACACAAAAATTATTAAACAAAAATGCTAAAATCTGAGAAAGTTATAATAAGCAAAAGAGAGAGAGAGAGAGAGAGAGAGAGGGAAATGGGGTTAAACGTCCACTCCACGCAAACTAGGTCATTTTGGGACTAACATATGGTTTAATTTTATTTCAATAATTTGCTTGCACGTACGCGTAGGGTTCTTTAGCAGTGGGAGGAAAACAGAGGACCTGGAGAAAACCCATGAGGTTGGACAGGCGACCTTTGTCACGTACAACCGGTGAATCGAAACCACGATAGTTGACTCAATGACAGGCCTTATGAAACAGCGCGCACATGCTAACCATTTGGCCATCCAAACCCCCAATAAGCAAACGACACAGTTACTGTAATAGGTTGATATGTGTACAAAGTATCATAAAGATATTTTAAACGTTTTATGAGATAATTACCCGAAATAAATCCATGACAGACGGACAGGCAGAGCAAGCCAAATTTCAATATCTCTCCCTTAATTTTGTTCTGTACAGGGTAATAATGATTTCAAATACTGTAAATAAATATCTTTATTTTTGTATTACTTATTAACAAGTCAAGTTAATGCTTACAAAATATATGAATGTTAAAATTATGTAAATTAAAATATAAAATAAATAATTCTAAAGGATGAATGATAAACACAAAATATAAAATACAACAATAAGAAGTAAATTAATATAAATCAAAAATCTGTAAAAAAATTTTAAATTAAATTGGCCATCAATTATTTAAGATAAAGCATAATAACTATCATTGGCCATTGTTTAAATTGAAACAAAGGCTTTTCCATAGTGCATATTATTAGTACAAGTGATAAATATTTAATTAATACTGAATAATAAATTATTAGGAATAATAGAGAAATATAATTATATTGTTTTATAATTTACATCAATAAGTATGTGTAAATTGACATCAATTTAATTACATCTTCAATATACCCACCTATTCATTAAAAAAAATTGATTCACAAATTACCATTTGCTCAAATAATCTATCAGCTGATTGTCGAATGGTGATGGCCATTCTTATCAACACTGATGTGTTAAGATCAACACTGGGTGAGGAAAAAAACATATCTATTATTGAGTTCCCATTATCTCCAGCCAGTCCAGTACAAGGCCAGCATTACAAACAGCTAATCACCATCATATCAACGGTGTATACATTCAGAGCCCTATACCTTTACCACGAGCAGCTAGTAGCCGAGAGGTTGATTGGTCTTATTGACGAATTCTGATTAATACACGGTTTGACGTTTCTGTGTCTGTTGACTGAAACTGTTAACTCAACCGAAACTGAGTTGTCGAGTCGTCAGGTATGACGCATTTATCCCACAGTTGAATCTCGACAGAGAAGTCTTTTTCGGGTTAGTGCTCAAGTGGGCGTGACGTCGAGAAGACGTTAAACGGGCACCTGTCTTGGTCGCTCCGATTTTACAGTGGATTTATCGTGTTTACAGGATTTATTGTATTTGGATATTAGCTTGCTGCTACCTGAAGATATAAGGAATAGACTAGTGATATTTATTTGGGAATGGTCATAGAAAATCATCAAAATGAAGGTATGTACCTAGTTATTTCACTAGATATAACCAGCTGGGAAAGAAGGGATGATGTCATACACCTTCGTTTTATCCAATCGGCAAGTCTTGTGTTGACCTCAATGCGCACGGCTCTCAGGCTTGTCGGTGAAGAATAGTCAGCCATTTTATAGAAAAATGTGAATGGATTTGATATGAAAATTGTGATTATTATGCCCAATAGGGATTTTCTATTGTCCAAATGATAACGGATAATTCAGTATTGGTGGCAGTGCTGCTACTGTAGCGGAAACCATATTTTTTCATAGTATATAAACACTCCAAAATCAGAAGCAAAGCTACAATTTATATTAATAAGATCAACCTTAGCGACCTTTCGAGGGGACTAAAACATCGAATTTGTGGATGAAAGGAGGTTGATTTCTGTCGGAATTTCTTCATGTGCACTCAAGGAATTATATGCGCTATTATATTTGACACGTAAACAAACAAAAACACCATAATACGACTCGTAAATAGTGTATTCCTTGATTCGATTATATATTCAAAATGTCTGCCAATTCAAGAGGATTGCAGACCGTTCACGAATCCGTTACTGTTGATCCGAGGGTGAGTTATAGATCTTTTTTCCTAATGTATGACAACACTAGTTTCATAAATCATGTGTCGTATTAATGTCAATAAATGGTTTCAATTACATTTTTATCTTTCAGCCAACGGATGATAACGGTAACCCAAGGATCACTACAACAAGAGGCAGAACCGATGAACCTCACATTGGAAAATACCGACTTGTCAAAACCATCGGTAAAGGCAATTTTGCCAAAGTCAAATTAGCCAAGCATGTACCTACAGGCCGAGAGGTAATTAGTGCATTACATTATATTTTATTTTGTTTAATTATACAACATTTATATAATATGTTGTTTGTTAATATAATGGGTACTGGTGTTTAATTGGCAGGAATGCAAGTTACCAGTATTTAATTTCAGAGCCTTTCATACATTTTACAGACCTCGAAATAGAATGAAGGAGTTGCTAGCAGAATTATTAAGGAGAGGGACTATTTTATTCATATTTTCCATTTTTTGCTGTCACATTGTAAACAAACATGTTTTCACAACACCTGTCATTCAGTAAAAATTAACAGGTTTATTGCTTAGGTTACATGTAGCTACATGTATGGGCTTAAACTTTCTGAAATGTCATTAAGTTAAATTGTTCCAGTGAATATTAATCACCTTAGAACAAGATTAAGCAATAAGCTAATTATTGTAAACAATGCCAGTTAATTAATAATTACAACCAGATATATACCATACACAGTAGGTCATAACATTTGTTACAATTTTAAAAGGCCTTCTGATGAATTGTAATGGCTTTGTTCCAAGGTTGTTAAATAAAAATTCATTGAAAATTAAAATAATTGAGAGAAATAATAATAAATTTAACATATCTCTAACAAGATATATTTTACTTAATTCAAGAGAATAAAATTCTCATGCCAGTAGATTCATTGTCTAAATATAGATGGTTGCTTCTTCCAGCTCAGTGAAAAATTATTAATTAGTGTGTTAGCCTATCCTGTAATTGACAAATATTTGTTATATGCCAAGGAAAGTTTACTAATCAACCCCATGAAATTACATGTACATGTATGCAATCCAATATTTTTTGATAGACAACTGCCACTCCCATGAAGTGATTGGCTAGTTACCAGATATGCCCATCACAAACATTAACTGTAGTCTGTAATGCACATGAGCTGAAAAAGGGTTGGGGAGCAGGACAGATTTAGTGTTGAGCTTCTGAAATCCTTCCCTATTCAGCAAACCTGGAAATCGACCACCTGTCACAGACACAAATTCAGGCTTTGTCAGGCACATTGCCTCTAGTACCTGTCATATTGTCTGGTATTGATTTGTCTATTTTCTGTGTTTTTATTCATATTATTAATTTGTGTCAAACACAAAGTTCAAAATGTCAAATTCTAGTTCAGTAGTGCCCTCCATTTCGTCATGAACTACTACAACTGTTATTTCCAGGCCAGGTAGTCAGGCCATGATTATAGTGAATGACAGTCACTAATATGGTCTTTGGATAGAATGTCAAGGTTTCGAAACTCAGCATTAAGTGAATATTTTTTTAAATAACAGAGGAATATGCTGAAGTCGAGTGTACAAATTAGTAAGGTAGTGCACATAAAAGATATATGTAACATGACAGCTGGTCAGAATTACCAAAGTCCAAGCAAAGCTTCCCTCCCCAGCATTGCCTACATTGTTGTTATTGTGCATTTTTATGGCACACAATTAAGTGCCCACATGATTGCTACAAAACAAAATAAAGATATAACATAATTAACTAAATTACAATAAGACATGAATATAGATATTGAAATCAATGTAAAATCTTACAAAATTCACTATTATAGTCAGTGTGTGAAATAAGGTCCGAAGGCCTGCAACCCATGTAAACAGTGTGGTGGGCCTGCAACCCATGTAAACAGTGTGGTGGGCCTTCAGGCAACTATTCATAAAATTGAATCATTATTTACCTTGGAGCCTATACATGATTTACGGTAATTCCTTCGGACAGATAACTGATATTAATACAACAAACAACCAGATGTTAGTCTCAAAACAACCTAGAATATGGTTTCATTCTAAACACTGTAACAGTGTCTTGTTGTTTAGATGAATTAAAAAAAACACAGGTGTTGTATACACTTTGCTCATTGGCGTGAATGGAAATAGGCCTATAATGAAATGTGGTTTAACATCCTACTCCAACAACCCTTATGAAGATGGGCATATATGCCATGCATTGTACTATGAGGGAAATTTTGTCCCTGCAGCAACATTTACGTCTACCCCTTGTCATATTCCAACTACCAAGGCTTCTTTTATGTGTCCAAAACCTCATTTTTCCGGGAATTAATGGGTGTTTTGGATAGCCGAATGGTTAGCACGTGTGCGTTGTATCAAAAGGTCTGTCATTGAGTCAACTGGTGTGGTTTCGATTCCCCGGTTGTACGTGACAAGGAGTAGGGTTGCCTGTCCAACCCACTTGGGTTTTAAACCGGGTCCTCCGGTTTCCTCCCACTGCTAAAGACCCCTACGCACAAGCGAATTATTGAAATAAAGTTGAACCACATGTTAGTCCCGAAATGACCTAGTTTGTGTCGAGTGGATGATAAAACCCATTTCTCTCTCCGGGAATGAACAGACACTGAAATTCAGGCATTTCTATAATTAAAGTGACTGGTATCTTGCATGGAGCTACATGTAATAGGCCTTTATGTAAGAGGCCTGATTTTATTGTAGTCATGTATAGTTTTAGATTTGTTGTGATAATAGTTTGTATACTAATGTACCGATATATGTACTGATATATGTATACTTGCCAAACGTTTATTACTGTTTTTATCTATGATAACATTGAGAGATTACTCTTCAAAACATCACCTATATATATTAGCTGTTCTTACTGTTTTATAGTTCATAACATCAAACTGTACCACACAAACTACTAACATTATAGTTTATTACTCTATCCAGTTACTAAGTACCACTTAAAGATTACATGTAACTTGCTTATTCTTGCTATACCCCTGATACATGTACCACTTTTCAATTTGGGGAAAGTTCAAATAGCAGAGTTCTTGCCACACAGTTACGTGTACACTGTATCTGTACAATTAGATTGTTATAATGTGATTCATACATTTCTGTTTCCTGTATTTTGATTAGGATTTTGTTCTTTATTTTTCAGGTAGCTATTAAAATCATAGATAAAACACAATTAAATCCTTCAAGTCTCCAAAAAGTAAGTAATATTTTGTACTCTATGGGTGGGTGTCACCAAAACTTCACTAAAAAAAATCCAAACATTATTTTAGTCTACATGTAGATGCATGCATCCGATTTCTTTTACCTTGGATAATGTGACAATCCGATTTTAATGCAGATCTATATTTCGGTTTTTTTTTTTATGCTTTTGATGGCCTACACTACATGAAGATCTGACCAGTTGTACTGGGAGGTCACGTCAGGGGTCATATGAGCAGGGCTGCCGACAACCAGTATCGCAGCGCAATTTGCGATACATATTTTGTCCGTTGCTAACCAAAAATTAAAATTAACATTTTTGATTCGCAGTTACTGCGAATCATTAATATGCCTGTCATTTTGGATATTGACACAAGAATAATCCACATTTTGAAGACTAGAAGGCTTACTCAACACTTTCAACGGGTATAAAATGTTGAATAAAATTTTATAAACAAAACTGAATTCTCCGCGTGACATTTTCTTCTCGAACTTCCCAGACACAATAATATATAACACAGGGACATAACTCTATGAATAGGGACTATTAAACCGGAAATAGGGAATCAAGTAGTACCACTCACATTGCGAGACATCAAGTAATTATATCATATTCATTTTGAAATAAATAAATCCAGTGTATCCCCCACGCATTGTAAATAAAATATAAAAAAATAAATACATTTCAACGTATTGTAAAATGATAAATCAAAGTAAAAATTCTCGTAAAATATTGTTTATATCGCGTGTGTCTAGTTAATCGAGGTGCGCCCGATTGAACAAAAATAGTAATACAACTAATACACGATAAAAAGCAGACAAATTGTTTTCTAACGAAGATTTCTAACGTGACAAAAAATAACAATTAAAATGAGTGGGGCTTCGGAAGTCATTCTCAAGAATTGGCTTCAGACATAAGACCTAACTAAATGTCTACATCACATTCACAAACTGTCACAAGTACTTGTGGCAGTGCTAAAAAATCTAAGAATTTAAAGAATAGTCAGAATGGAATCTAATCATATTTGTTATGAATTAAAGTAATATCTTGTTATTTAGGTGTTTTACATTGAAACTGAAAAACTGCTAATCAATTTTTAAATTTGCTAATCAAATTTGGCAAAATTGGACTTTTTGATTAGCAGTGCTGCTAATGAACTGTGAAAAATTACCGACAGCCCTGCATATGAGCAGCTTTTGGCCCTATGACGTTAGATATTGATTAATACATCAGCGTCAACATTTCTAGGTATTTACCCACAGTTTTGTGCAGAGCAAGCCTAGAACTCGCTGTAACAGATTGTTTCATTGGCTTACTCCTCACATCAGCTAGAATGCCAGTTATATAACAACTCTTCCAGATCCTAGTGTTGTGAAGACAAGTAAAACGAAATTTTGAACAATAAAAAACAAAATAAAATAGGATCTGTGTTTTAATCAGATTGATAAAGTGATACTTTATTGAAGTATTTTATTACAAATTTGGGTATCGAGGTACGAACCAGAATTAAAATAAATACAAGACAACAGAATATCAAACATTTTAATTCTAAAATATTTATACAAATGATAATAGATCATAGAAATTGAGAAATTCAACATAACATGTACCTACATTTGTACCTACTGTATTATGTATTCCCGAATAAATTTTTCACAAAATGAATATAACACATACTTAGGCATGCTCAGAACATGAAATAGAGCAGACACCAATTGTGTGTTTTCTTTACTAACCATAAAAAATAGAAGTTATTATGGTGATGCATCTGGTGTTGACATGTTTCTCTTGGTAATGAATGAGTAATTTGGGTTGTGTTAATTTGTTCACCATCTCACTGAGTGTGTAATGGTCAAGGTCACTATCTCTAGTCACATTTTGAACTGATATTCCCAACACGTGTTTTGTGACATGTATAGTGAGTCGATTGTTATTTACATGTATATGCTATATAATCACTTCCATTCAACAAACTCAACATAAGAATTCACATGGTCATTGTTTTAAAGCTCATTATGTCAATTGCATTTTGGTTAAAATATCAAATTTCCCAGGGCCTAATACACACTACATCTAAAATAATATGTACTTAGACTCAGATTATTTAAAATTCAATAAAGAAATCAAGATACCAATGCTCGATAATCTCCTGGCTTGCATTCAGTTGGATTTAATCTAGGCCCATCAGGTTTCTCCGCTGCCAATAAAAGATAGTGGTGTCATGTTATGCCCGAACAGCATATATCGATAAAATTTCAATTTATCATAACTTTGTAAATTCTGAACGGAATTAAGCCATTTTTGAACTGATGTTCCCATTAGAGATTAAACTTTTACAATATTGTAGTTCGCGAGAATTTATTCATCATGTACCTTTTTGTTTCCTGGATATATATATATATATCCATGCAAAAGGAAGAATATATATACCCCTAGTTCCGATGAGACTGAGGTACTGTGTATACCACTCGCAGCACATTAAAGATCTCCTCACAGTTGGGAGTTGCTAATTGTAGGCCGATTGCAATCTGATAATAAAACACAGATCCTATTTCGTTTCTTTTTTCATAGTTTAAAATTTCGTCAATGTCTCACGTCATAGAGTCGAAAGTATAAAAAAAAGAAACGAAATATAGATTGGTATTTTAATCAGAATGGGCTGGTTGGTGAGGTTTGGGAATTTCAAGAGTCCACAATGGCTGCTTTATATAAATGAGTATTTTGGGGAATACTAACCAAGAATCAAAATATGAGTAGATCGATCGTAGCATCGCTGCCTGTGCAAAATTTGCCTCGCACTCTGCACAGTGTATGTCTGGCCGGTGCAGAAAAGTAAATTAATATCAGTCAGAACCAATCTGATTTGAATCATTTATTGTTAACTGTATCAGCCTGTTAGCTTGGCTAATTGAGTGTGTTCATTTATAGTTGCATTGTAATTGAATATTATTGGTGGTTTCTAGGTCAAGTATTGTAGAAAGAATGTGGATGTTTATTGATTATATATATATATTACATACAGTATAAATTAAACCAATTGTACCAGTAGAATCTGTTTGATAAGGCATAGACTTTTAGAGTTATATATATGTACATTGTATAATCCTAGCCGGGGGTTGTGTGTTGAGTCCAGCAGTTTATTGCTTTTACTTTAGAGCAAAAGGTCTGTAGATCCCAAATTTGTAAGGAGTAGGGTTATCTGCCCAACCTTGTGGCTTTCTCTGGCTCTTCCAGCTTCCTCCCACTGTTAAAGTCCTCTATGCACAAACTAATAATTGAAGTAAAATTGTACCACTTGTTAGTCCCGAATTGACCTAGTTTGTTTCCTGTGGATGGTAGCCTACATGTACATGTCTAAGTCTAAGTCTCTGCTAACTGCTTCCACAATAGTGTTGTTACAGAGATGGCACAATTATTGAATTATTGGTACAGGTAAAATATGTCTTTTTATAATGCACAATAATTTGTCAATCTGTTATAAAATGAAATAGGGTTTAACTTAATGTCCTACTTTTCTGCACCGACTGGGCTAATGAAGATTGGCATACGTTATGCAGTGTGCTATGAGGAAAATTTTGCCTGAACAGAAGCAAATTCCAAACTCTTCAGGGTTCTTTTACTTGCATCTAATGTGTACACAGGACCTTGGTTATTCCTTCCATACAAATGACTAGACACTGTCCTTGTCAGGCCCAACCTCGTGGGTTTTCTCCGGGGCCTCCGGTTTCCTCCCACTGCTAAAGACCCCTACGCGCAAGCGAATTATGTAAATAAAATTAAACCATATGTTAGTCCCGAAATGACCTAGTTTGTGTCGAGTGGACGTTAAGCCCCATTTCTCTCTCTCTCTCTCCTTGTCAGGCCCACGGTCCTGTACCACTGACAAGGGAAAATCCTGAGGAACTTTCTTAGCCAACATACATCTTTACTGTATCAGGTGTGAGTACATGTAATTTGAAAAATATCAGAAAATTGGTTGCAAAATATGTGTACAGTATCATGTACGTAATTATTATTTATTGATCTCTAGTTAAAAGTTAAATTATCATCGTCTGAGAATTTTGTATTACAATGTCTACTTTCTATGTAAAAAAAAAAAATCACCCAAAACTCAACATAATATTTATTTCCCAGTTTATCTACACCACACTGACAAAGTGTTTTAATAGACACACAACTTCACAATACTTTACCATAAATAAAAACAATGATACGTATATGAGTTGGATCAGTTGGATCTGCAAAGTTTTCTTGGATTATAAAAATCAACCGGCAGTCAAAATGTTTTGAAGTGGAAACACTGATTGGTACACAATGTATATTAGTTTTCCAGTACAGTAATTTGTGTCTTATTTACTCAAAATACATTCATTTACATCCTTCAACACATCATCATTCAATGGGTGTTTATACTGTGGTTTCAGTTTCTGAAGAAAATTCCATGCTTCTCCTTTGATGTCCTGATGAAACATAAAACCTACTGGTCCTAGGACTAAAAATTCTATTCTTGGTATGATTCAGGATTCTAAAAACTTGAGTCACTTTGTTGTTTGTTCTGTGGCTTGATGTGCAGGTCAGTTGCATTGTCTCAAATTCTTCCACAATGATGACATTTTCATTGTAACATGACTGAAAGACTAGTGATGGTCCAGTAATCGGTTACAACATCGGCAATTGGTCGATAAGTGGCCTATCGGGAGAAATTGGTATCGGCTGATACACAGTCATTTTGCCGCTACTGGGGTTGCCGAAGTCTGTTCGACCTGGTAATTACCTTTAAAATATTATGGGAGTTGTGAACAAATCATTATTTTGCTTGATGAGCAGTGCAAATAAATTGACACCGAACACATGCACGTTCGCGTTGCTATTTAGACGTACCGGTAATACATAACTATCATCGGGGTTGTAAAAAGGAAAGAATAAACAGTAAAAAATCCTGACCGGTCTCCGTTATATAAATAAAAGTTTTATTTCGGTTTCCGTCTGTGTTGCTATTTAGACGTACGGGTAATACAAGACTCTAATAAAAAGGAAGGAATAAACAATACAAAATCCTTACCTGTCTCCGTTATTTTGTAAAATGCTTATTCATACACTGTTTGAGAGTTTGGTTCTCTCAATGCGATTTTTGAGAATATCATTTCTGCACATGTGCAGACAGACAATAACGTACAACAGTCCACCCGTTAAAACTTTTGATTGGAATAGGGACTAAGCCAATTGCAAGATGATCAAAATCATAGAATTGGAGATGGAGAACATAGTCAGTCATCGCGAAGACCCCCCCTTTCAATGCGTGCTGATATTACATGATCACTCACTCAAACAATACCTACTTAGAAATAATTTAGTGATTTGTATTGTTATGCTAGGCTACTTTAAAAATTTAGACATAATTTGTATCAACCAGGCCTGGAAATAACGGTTTTAGGTGAACCCGACAAAATATCAGGCACTAATAAAATAGTACCAGACATTTTCAACTTAGTGCTGGACATGTATTAATAATATCAATAAAAAAGACAAATCAGTGCCGGACAAAATAACAGACACCAGAGGTGTAGTGCCTGACAAAGCCTGAATCTGTGCCTGACATTTTCTGTGATAGGTGCCTTATTTCCAGGCTTGGTATCAACAAATAATAACTTATAATATAGATCATACTTTGTTAATTAATATTATTACCAACAAATTAGTTCCCATTAGATGGTTTCTTTTTAACTGTAGTTCTAGAAATGGCGGGAGAATGTCACAGTAAGCTATCCCTTTGAAGTATCATTCATTACCGCCTGAACCATTACATCTATTATAGACATACAGGTGCCAATCACTCTAGGGAATAATATTGGTGCCGATCATTCAAAGGAATTATATCGTAATCGATACTTAAAATATGATAACCTCGACTTTATTCATTAATAACGATAAAGCAAGTTCATAATAGATGGAGTGTATTTTTGATTGCGTATTACTTCAAAAACGGTAATTGTATCTGTATCGCCCGATATGTTTCACTGTCAATATCTGATACCGGTAAAACCGATAGGTGCCATATCGGACCATCACTACAAAAGACATTATTCTATATATCATGGCACTCTACAACTGACAGACAATTGTGTAACAAACAGTGACTAGACATTTGAGGAGAGAACAATTGGGTCTAGAAAAGTAGGATGTTAAACCCATATCCTTTCATTTCATTTCTGGAGGGCCTTACAAGGACAGTTGTCTAGTCATTCGGATGATACAAAAAATCGAGGTCCCGTGTACACATTGGCGTGCATGTAAAAGATCCCTTGACAGTTGGAATTCGATATGAGAGTAGGCTGTAGTGCTGCTGTCCGGGCAAAATTTCCCTCGTAGCACACTGTATGGCGTATGCCTATCTTCATTAGTACCGTTCAGATCAAAACAGTAGGACGTTAAACCCCATTTCATTTCAGTCAGATTTCTATATAAAAAAATTTTTTTTTGGCCTGTCTGTATTCACATTATACCTAAGTAATAATTTGATATCATCTTTGTCCTATACTGTATCTATAAGTTTGGATGATATTATTAACAAATTCAGCTACTGGTAGCCCCAGGCTGATAATATTTAATATTTTGATAGGGTAAATATCGGCTTAAATTGTCTATAAAAAATTAAATCCTTTGCTTGCTACCCACAAGTTTCTATGGTACCTTGAGGCTGAGAACCAACTTATCTTTTGAAGAAATTGGATTCAGATTAATTTTCTAATCTTTGATGGAAGTAGACATTGACATTTTTCTGGATTATGGAATTGACATTTTTCTGGATTATGAAAATAAACCCATTCTTTATACATTTAATATGTGGCTGTACATGTATATTGTTGTCATAAGATCAGCTCTTGATTTACGAAGTAGGGTTGCTGGCGTAACCTTGTGGATTTCTCTGGGTCCTTCGGTTTCCTCCTACAACTATAGAAGTTATTACCTCAATGTATTATTAACCTGTGGATCTAATATACAATGTATATTATTAGTCTAAAAATATCCCAATTGCAATCAGTGGTCTTTAAAAACCTATTAGCCTGTTCCCTCCCCCTCCCTCTCTCCATTGATGTCTTGTCTCTTCAGATGTTACATGCACCTTGATTTGTTGGTAGAATTTGAAAAATTAGAGGTTAGAAAGACAAGCCTTAAATCCAATGTGAAGGTGCCTGGATTGTCAGTTATATGACACAATGCTTTTATGCGTTGTATAGCAAAATGATGCACGTTCAAATGCTGCTTGTTCATTCTTAGTAGCTGAATAAAATGACATGGTTGGAAGAACGTGTAAAGAGTGTAGTTTTGATGCAGCGGGTTTCATAAAGTTCATGTTCCCCATGCATGTACAGAGTAATAGAAAAATTAGCAGGAATTTTTGTTGCCAAGTTAGACATGACGTCATAACTGTATGACGTCGTTTATAACACAATTTGATTAGCTATTGCATCAGTCTGTTCGCCGAGAATAGAACTGGTCCTATCCATACAACAAGATTTCCATCCAACCATTTGCCTGTTTAGTTAATCTGATGCGACCATTGTATGGATTGGTTGCAACTGTATACACTGCTTAATGCTACATTTGTATTTTGAATATGATATGAAATTAATTAAATTTGCTTATAGAGGCTCTACCTTTACAATAGTGTACATGTGTGTAGTTAGCAAGGGTTTCAAAATACCTCAAATGACGATTAATATTTAGATTAACGGCATTAAATAAAGCTCATTTCTTTCTCCAATTTCACTATTCCGGTCTCCATTTATTTATGAGCTGTATTTATGGTAACAGTCCATGTTGATATTTGTTTATGTATTTGGGAGTGTTCTATTACTTGTCATCAATTTAGTTAGTAGACAGATTGATAAATGTTTCATTATTATTGTAATATTGGTGTTAAAATTAGAATGATGACCCAATTGATCTATTTACTCAAGTTAGAGTGATTGGTAATATGATCAAATATATGAAAAATCAATATGGTGGTGATATTAATCAATCATTCAGTATTTCGTTCTTCATTATACTGTGGTTAATCGTGGTCTCCATCTAGTACCGTAAAAAACCTATACATGCATTCACAGTTTATTGCTTACATCTACTTGTGCTAATTCAAATATTTTTAGACCAGGAACAGGTTGCTAACCACTTCTTATCTTGTTGTTCTTTTTGTTCTTGAGGTGACGCTCTTCAAAAAAAAGCCTAAGGCTGTCTCACTTGAAGTCCTATCGACATGAAAATTGGCATGATTGCTCTTTGTATAATTCTACATCGATTTGGTGAATTAGATTTTTGAATTTCACCCAATAACATGGTCAGTTCCTGGTCCGAAGTGCGATCATAGTTGTTTTCAAAGGCTTTTGAATTCGCTATACGATGGAAAGTAAAACAAATATTTGTTATTTGAAATATTTACTAATATTAATTCAGTGAAATGAACTATTGTTAAAAAAAGAAATGAAAGTATATTGCTTACATTTACTTCAGCTCATTTACATAGTTTTTTAAGACTTTTTTTAACCCGCTATTCAAAGTCAAGTAAAACTGGGTTGTTTTTTTTTGTCATGAAATATTTATTAATATTAATTCAGTGAAATGAAGTATTGTTCAAAAATAAACAAACAAGATATATTTATTTGAAATATTGACAGATAGAAATCTAAAAATACATAAAAACACAGTCCAATCATTCATTTCAACTTCACCAAACATTCATCATTTCAACTTCAATTTAATTCAATATTTAAAGCCTATTATTGTCATTTGCATTTTTCAAACAATATCTATGTAACTATGTAACTTATTCAGGGTTTAATTTACTCAAGTTGATTGATTACATGTATTTAACAATGATCACCATTATCAAATACAATCAATTTTAGTACATTTTGTATTTGGAAAATGTTTATTAAACATGCATTATATAAGAGCTAAATCTGCCTATTGCAGGACTTTCTTTAGGCCTGAAATGTTATCTAAATTATTAATTAGAAATTTATTAACAAAACAAGACCATAATCAACTCTGGATGGCATCTGATACTCAAGATTATAACTAGATTAGAACGGTTCACCCTTTAAAAATTTAATTTAAAAATGGGAAAGCGAGGCCAAGACTTGAATATACCAGTGCCCTGTTTACCACAATGCACACACCATGTTAAAAAACTACAAACAGTGATAACTTGGAACAGAATAAAGTAATTTGAATGAAATTTTCATTTTACATTAACTGGTATATAGCAAGAATGGTCAGCTCTCTAGCTCAATCTTACACAATGTATCTTTAAATGTTGACTGTGTAAATAACAGCACATGTAATGTTATATTGCAGTTTACATGCTCCACTACATCTTACATTAAAACATTTATAATATATAATTTATAAATATGTTAAAACACAAGTCAAGATAGAAGAAACTCTTTATTTCTCAGTCGATCAGTTATCAATGCATTTTCGGTGCTGTGGGAGTTGGGTGGTCCTCTGTGTGTGCTCTGTAATGACCTATTTTGTGTTTGAGTGAACGTGAACACTGTACACATCTCTATTCCCTCTGCATTCTTTGTTCTTCTTAATAACGATCCAGACAACATTTTAACTACAGAAAAAATGTGCAATTTTGTATGGAATCATAAATATGCTTTTAGTTTATTTTTGCTTTTCATTTTTTTCAGCTTTTTCGTGAAGTTAGAATAATGAAGATGTTAGATCATCCTAATATAGGTAAGAATAGATTGATGTTTCTCTTTAAATTATTAGGTGCCATGCTGGCTCAATGCCAATGGGTATATGTCTGTCCCGAGTTCAACCTTTGTGGTTGAAAAAGTTCTCAAAATTTTCCAGCAAGTAGTCTGCTATCATGACAAAATATCGCTCATGTCCAATCATTAGTACAGTTAGTGTAAAAAAGTGGAATGTTAAGCTCCATTATCATTTCATTTCTTTTAATTATTTAGATTTGAATTTAAAAATATATTGATATACAACCATTGATTGGAAAATGTATCCAAACTACCTGGAGAAATCAATTTACCAATGTTTGTGAGTTAGACAGATGACCTAATTATGCTCGAGGGAGAATACACACATTGATTAATTGAATATATTGCATTGTGCAATGAGATGTAAATCCTCTTATTGTCATTTGCGTTTTTTTTTTTCAAAAATTCATCCGTGGATAATCTACTCAAATAGTTAAAGATACATTATGGGAGATTCGATAACGAGTTGGCAGTTCTCACCATAATAATTAAAAACTAAATAACGTAAAGGCAATTTGCTGAAAATTTCATTCAAATTGATCCACTATGAACCGAGAACTAAGCGAATGTAATTTCTGCCTAGCTTCGGTCATCATTACTAAAGTCAGTACAATAAACAGCATTATCCATTTAATCGTTTAATCGAGAAGGAAAGTTATGCAGTAAATCGGCTCACAATCCACTTAAGATCGCAGGCTAGCGATGCCATCAAGAGTTGATTATGGTCTGGATAGGTTAATTAATGTCTAATTAATAATTTAGATAAAATTTCAGACCTAAAGAAAGACCTGCAAGAGACAAATTTAGCTCTTGCATTATGTATGTTTAATTAAGAAATCAAAATCAAAATATCAAAGGTAGATAATCTCCTGGCTTGGATTCAGTCAGAATAAAAAGAGGCCCGTCAAAATTTTTGAGAAGGCTGGCTTCTACCATTTCCCGTATATATTGTCTGCAGTAAATGCAGAATGTTGACAAATTTTCAGTCCATCATTTCTTTGTAAATATTGAATGGATTTAAACCAATTTTTGGATTGATATTCCTTTTACAGATGCACCTTAAACATGTATTATACAAGAGCTAAATCTGCCTATTGCAGGTCTTTCTTTAGGCCTGAAATGTTATCTACATTATTAATTAGACATTTATTAACATGACAAGACCATAATCAACTCTCGGTGTATTAACAGTATTGTAGTATGCCAAGGATTCAACATCCTCAAATACATGTATGATGGTCAGAAACTTTAAAGGTTTATGAATATTAATATACATGCACATGTTTCCTATTACTAGCTACATGGTTTGATGTAATTTGTTAAATTGAAATTTAATATTTCTGTTTTATTTTTTTCAGTTAAATTATTTGAAGTTATTGAAACAGAAAAGACGTTATATCTGGTAATGGAATATGCGAGTGGAGGTACAGTTTATTTCTTAAATTGATAAATCAATATTTAAATGAAACATGACCTAATGTTTTTAAGAGTAAAATAATTATATTAAAAATGCATTATATAAGAGCTAAATCTTCCTATTGCAGGTCTTTATTTTGGCTTCAAATGTTATATAAATTATTAGTCATTTGTTAACATGACAAAAGTATAGTTTTAAAGATCAAAATCATATAAATAATACGATTTAAAGATGCATTATATAAGATTTAGATAAAGAGCTGACAGTTCTTGCTATAATAGTTTAAGGGCGTATGGCTCTATTTTTTTTAATCTTGAAATAGACAAAAATGGTTCTAAAAGCACATATTAATGTTATATGAATGTATGTTAAGTGATTTATATTTAATTTTTTATAGAAAAATATTGTAATTTCTAATCAATTATGTTTGGTGAAATACGTGAACGGAAGTCGTTTACACCTGCTTAGTGCATTCTACACATTTTTAAAATTATTATTTTGTTGTTTGTGAATCAGCCGTTATTAATTACTTCCACATTGCGTTGTAGGATATGTTTTTATTTGTTCATTACAAAATGGCACCTGAAACCAAAGGGTACACGACTCGTGTAGTGATTATAAAATGTTAGTTATGTCTTAAATATTGGATATTAGGGTCCAATAGTTGCACGGCAAGATAACAACTTTAATGTTGATTGAAATTGATCAGTGTTGAATTCTAATTCGTGTTTTTAATTTCGAATATTATGGAGAATATTGAGATAGAGACTTAGCTCCTTTAAAACATAGATAATGAAAAATGAATGTATTGAAAATGTTAGTCAAATTACTATTATGAGTATTTAAAGTTTTGATAAGATAGTCTTGATTATCAAGTACCATCACTGCAATGATAAAAAAAAGGCTTGATTATCCAGTTAATTGTTAAATTATTAAATGCAGTAAGTATTTTAGTCCATTCAATATCATGGCCAATTGATGATGTAGAGTGTTTATTTTGCTTATGTGAATAAATGTCTAATAATTTTTATATAACATTTATTTGATGCTAAAAAAAGGCCTGCAATAGACAGATTTAGCTCTTATAAAATCCATATTTATTAACTAAGAATAATCAAATTTCTCTTTTTAGAAAATCTCGTGTGACTATGCTTAAGGTACATGTAATCTGCTAGTAAAACATCAAAGCAATATATTTAGCAATCTATTATGTCTGGCATTAAAGGTATGACATTGTATAACATTGTTTTAATATCTGTACAGGTGAAGTCTTCGATTATTTAGTTGCTCATGGAAGAATGAAGGAAAAAGAAGCCAGAGCTAAATTTAGACAGGTTAGTTATATTATTTTAAGATGATGTCATGATTTTAGAATTTCAAGTATTTCAACCATTGATTTATTGTATTGTAATATTAATAATATGTTGATGCCTGATAATGAAAGGGTGTGAAACATCACTGAATGTTTGTATCATGTTTCAGACCCTAATCTCAAATTGGTGAATCCATAACAGTTTATTAGTCGAAAATATGATCCCAAAATTATGAAATGTATTTATCCCCCTCCCATTTCTTCCTCTCAAAATAATAAGCTTGAATATCCTGTGTGATGATAAATGAATCATTCCAGACCCTAATCTTAAATCAGTGAATCCATAGTAGGGCCTACATTAGTTAAATAGTTGAAAATATGATCCCTAAATTATGAAATACTTTTCCTTCTCGCAGTGCTTCCTCTGTATCTCAGGGATAGATAGTAATCCTCCATATCCGATGTGATGATACATCAGACCCTAATCTCAATCATTGAATCCATAGCAGTTCAGTAAAATAGACGGCAATATGATCCCACCTGACATGGTTAGTGCCTAGTCGTTCAGTTGGACTGAAAAACCGGGGTCCTGTGTGCACATTAAAGATCCCTTTGGACAGTGTCTAGTCATTCAGATGGGATGAAAAACCGAGGTCCTGTATACACATTGGTGTGCATGTTAAAGATCCCTGAACAATTGGAATTCAAAATAAGAGTAGACTTTGAATGTATGTAATTTATAAAATGAGGTAGTTGGATGTTGTGCCACTTTTCAGGCAAAATTTCACTCATAGCACACTGTTTGGTGTAAGCCTGCCTCCACTACCCAATCAGTGCAGAACAATAGGATGTCAAACCCCATTTCATTTCATTTCTCTCAATACTTCTGGGTTGGAAGTAAGCCTCAATATCCGCTGTGATGATACATGATTCATCCCATTTATAGGCTACTATCAATGGCGGTTGAAACAGGTTTCACATCACAGCACATAGCAGCCCATTTAATTTATATTAAAAAAAAGTAGGTCAGGACAGTTGAACTGTTATAAGGTTGACTGTGACTGATGAAAAGCAGAATGTTTTAAATGTCAGAAACATGCACCTTGATTCACACCTGTACCTCTTCGTTACAAAAAAAACCTATTAAAATGGTTTACAGTTGTGTTGGTCTGACCTAGAATACTATTAAAATAGAACGAAAAGGCTTGGCTGGTATTTGTCTAGAGGGGACAGTAGTCTCTGTCAGATTTATATTACAAATTGATCAATGACACTTGATTCAGGTCCTTTTTACGCTCATCCACTTGTCCTAGACCATGGTTTTACAAGTTACTGATATGACCTATAATATTATTATATTTAGGACTTACTGTAGCTACTGGTGAATATATATTTGTTACTACCCGGCATAATACATGTATTTATTAATTGTTAATTTTATCATTAACCAAATTCAAAATAAATAGCACCTTCTTCATTAGATGACCTAATTAACGTTAAGCAAATATATCTTTAAACTGCTGGGTCCAGTGATTTTGTATAGCAGCAGTCCATTGTTTCAGGCCATTTTCAGACAAGTTTGAGAGCAGTGCTTGGGATGTCATCATTTCATCAAAACTATAATGGCCATTCATTCCTATTAAATGACAAAGGGACTTGATTTAGAATACAACCACCCTGACTATATTGTATGAGCTCTTTACCAAAACGCCATATTTGGAGTAAATGTGGAGCATATGCTTTGTTTAGATCATTCTGTTAAATTGTTTTTCCAAAATTTGATTTGGAGCAACAAATGTTGATCTTGCATCCCTATACTGATATACATTGGTATTGTATACGATAAAAAAGAAAGAAAGTGTCCAAATCCTATTGTCCAAATTCCTTTCCCAAATAGTATCAACACGAAGTTGGAAAAAAATACTCTATCGATTGGCTGTACAGGTTAAAAGTCATGGAAGACATTTTGTTTTTCTTTCCCATTGTACCTGCCTATAGACCTTTAACTGCTAGAATAATTAAGCTGAATTGGCCTTTATGGTTCATGAGCCACACCCATTTAGTTATCAATCTCCAATTTTACTGTCAATTGTTTGACTAAGAAACTACTGTTGGATATCTCATGGGTTTTAAGATATAAGGTGTCAGGATTTTCTTTTCAACAATTGAGTAATAAATAAAAGTTATTGCACAGAAGAAAACACTCAAGTAAAAATAGAATTTGTAGCCCAACAGTGAGAAAAACCATTAAATCACTGAATTGGAACATATTTACCCAGCGTCTTCTTTCAAGAGAAGGAAAACCTGGTTTGATGAATCAGCAGTTATAACGATGATAATAGTCCAAACTGTTATCTGTCAGCAGTGATAAAGAGTTCCCCATACAATAAGATTATGTCATTTGTACTTTCTGTTGGTATTAAACATTATCATATACAGTAAAACTGTTAAACATACCAAGCCATAGAACAAACAGAGAGAAATGGGGTTTAACATCCACTTTACACAAACTAGGTCATTTTGGGACTAACCCTACTCCTATATCGAATTCCAACTGTCACAGGTTCTTTTACGTGCACGGCAATATGTATACGTAGGGCTGGCGAAAAATATCGATATAGCTGATAATCGTCGGCGACTACGGAAAAATATCAATATCTATATTCAGTTCTTGATATCGATACTCGTATAAAAAATAAAGGAGCTTCAATAAAATGAAATTAACAGAATGTTTTGTGTCAAATAATTCAAAACACGCTAAAACTAAAATCACACACACTAGAAGAAGGTACAACCACTGCACCGGTAATTTTGGGGATCGTTTACAACAATGACATTGAATAATTAATTAATTGTTCAGGGGAAATAACTCAATTTTAACAGAAATTTATTTATTGTTATAAGCGGCTGAGGAAAATTGTTAACAGCAATTGATGGCGAGCGCGAAGCTGCGATTACTATTTTGTTCATAATACTAATATAAGATAAACTGTCAACGAAACAAACATTAAGAAAACATAGTTTTAGGATCATAGTTTCTTTTTTTATTTCATCAATAACACATTTAAATGCATTATTAGCATACAAACAGTTATTTCTTTCAACTTCAAATTTTCCGATATATCGATATCGATATTGCCGAAATGGTTGCCGATATCGATATTCAAAATAGGTATCAATTGCCAGCCCTATATACAGGACCTTGGAGCTGAACGGTAGGATGTTAAACCCCATTGCATTTCATTTCATTTCCTTGGTTTTTCATCCCACTAGAGACAGACACTGTAAATGTATAATGACTTGTTACTTTTAACCACCCAGTTTGGCGATGACCTACTTGTTTTAAATAAAAATTTAGATACACATGTATATACAGTACCTAACCAAAATACTCGTCAGCAGATCCACACAGCCCAATCTACCCAGCCATGGTGGTTTAGTGAGTTACGTGCTGGCTCACTAACAAGGACTAATATTGTTTATATCATCTGCAGTGGATGTCAAATGTTACGAAATTCATTTTACATGTCGTAGGTGAAGTGTCAAAAGGGTGTATCTAAGAATTTCTAAAGATTAAGAAATAGAACCTTTTGCATTTCAAAATTTCCACAAATCAAGATACAACATTTGGACACATGATACCCAGAACAGTTCTAATTGGCGTAGAGATACACAGTTTAGACACAAATGTGCATATTAATTGGGAGATTTTAAAAATGCAAAAAAGTGTATTTGATTAATTTCCCGAGATACACCCTTTTGACACTTCACCGACGATGTATCTTTGTAAATACTGAATGAAATTGGGTCCATTTTTGAACTGATATTTCTTTTTGGAGAGTCGGCTTTTACAATTTTGTATTTTGCAGGGGATTCAGAATCCCTAAAATGATGAGCAGTGGCTTTAAGATAATTACTCAGAAAAAACCCTAACAAATTCAGATATTTCGAACTAAACAATTTCTGTACCTATCAATTGAGAAGTTCCCAAAGAAATACATAAAAATATCAAATGGCTTTTAGATGAGTTTGATTTAACAATGACATTTAAGAGTAGGTCATCCGTATCAAACAATGTTCTCCATGTACCGGTAATGAGAAATCCCCATTTATATATCTACTAGTTAGGAGTTAGTGATTTCATGACCTCAAACTCTTGTTAGACATACATGTTTCATGTGTAGCAACTTGACATATTCATGATTTATGATGTCATAATGTCATAATGTCATATGACTGTGTCATATCTCATCCAATAACTCACAGTTAGATGTAACTGAATATACAGGTAGTTTAATATTCTAAATAGGAGACTAGTGGTTAGATCTATTTGATAAGGATAACTTCAAGTTTGGTCAAAGGTTACAAGAACTAAACAGGACTAGCACTAATTCCAACCCCAACTCTAACCCTGAACCTAGCCTTAATGCTTACCCTAATCTACAATCTTGCGAACAATCACTTGCCCTAACCTTATTTACATCTCAGCGACCTTGACGAAAATTTAGTTGGCCTTAACAAATAGATCTAGCTGTAGACTAGTAGTCAAAACAAAACACTTTAGAAGTAACTTGATTGTATAAAACAAAATATAAGGCTATGTGTGCATATCATGAATAAAAGAACTATACATGAAACAAACAAACCAACCTGTACATAAATAATTATAGGTACACAAAGATGAATATATAATAACATAAATGATTCGTATACAAAAGCTACTAAGCAAAATATACATGTAAATGTGTTTGTTAGGAAGACTACATATTCTTTAGGAACAGGGTTAAAATTATTTTGGTGGTTTTTTTTTTATTCCTTACCAAAGGACTTTAATTTTAGATTTGGGATATTGAAGTGTTTTTCAAGAGCGTATTTTAGAATATTTTCAACATATCTTTATGAAACTTTGTACACACATCACTCTATTATACTAGTAGTTGTGTTTTTTGCTGATTGAATATTGATCGGATTTTGTGTTGTGAATCTATGACATTCGGAATTTGATGAAGAGTAGTCAGAAAT